AACTTGTTTCAGAATCACGGTGCTTATCACACTGAAATTTATCTAGAGCAACTTAGATTTCCAGGGTAACGGAAGAGGTCCATTCTGTCTCTTATACACATCTGGAAAAACGCGCATTAAAAAAAATATGGGGAAAATGAAAAAAAGCGATGGCCACGTCGATAGATATGGTCTTTACGAATCGAATGATATGTGTCTGGATGTTGTAGGACGATATTTGTAGGAGGAGATCGATTTTCTGTAGTACCCCTTTTTAGCCGTTTTCTATGAATTTCACGTTTTCTATCAATTTTTCGAAAAATTCATACGAACAAAATGTTATTTTTTTACATTTTACGTATGTATGTGAAGTTTCATGATGATCGGATGATAACTGTAGGAGTTTTCTGGGGGGTTAGCCGGTCCCCTTAACTCAGATACCTAAGAAATTTATGATTTAAAGAATAGCACTGCCTAAAGGCCCTAAGCTGGAGAACATAAATCTTTGCTGCATATATATTGCCTAGATTCTAGCTGATTTTAGTAAAAAGCTTTAGTGAAACTTTTTTCCAAATCTCTTACTAAGAAAAAACTAAATAGATTTTTAACCTAGGACTGGGAGTATGCATTGCAATTTTGCTTGCAATGCATGTTCATGAAATTATTTATAGTAATAATTAGGTAGCTAGCTACCTCTTACTCTAGAATTGATTCAATTGAACTTTGAAGTACGAGTACCTAGCTCTAGCTGCTCAGGCTACTTGCTTGTTTGCTGCAATTCTACATAACAGGTTAGGCCAGTCACAGTGTGGAAATCCAGAGGGGTAATATATTGACTGGTAAACCTAGCAAATTTGAAAGCAGGACCCAAAAATCTGGAACGTCCAGCACACTTCCACTTTCAGTCCATCATCATCACTGATGAGTCTCTGCAAGATGCCACAGCTGTTTATTCCAACAATTGTGCGTAAGATTTTGCGTTGTGTTGTGCGTGAGTGGTTGTCACGCTGGACACGCGGCATCCATCAGAGTATCGGCAACACACCATGATCACATGTTTCTCTTAATAATATTAATAATAATAATAATAATGCTAATAATAATAGCAGTTTCAGCGTTTATTAGGCCGTAGGCCTGTCACCGATTCTTAACATCGCAGAACATTCACAGCATTTTGAGGTCTCAAACTCGCAACGCACTGCTACATTTCTGCTGTGCTTAACCGCCCGGCCTCCTTTCCGATTCTGACCAGAAACTGTCGCACAGAGCTGGGATCGAACCCGCGCCTCTCTAGTGCGTCAATCTTGGTACTCTGAACTTTAACTACTGGGCCACCCTTAGCTCTTCTCATTTTATTTTGATAGAAGAAATAGGCTCATGGCCTGTCGCCGATTCAATTTTCGTGACTTGTTCAGAAACAATCTAAAGAGTGGCCTTTTGACCCGATTTTTTTTAACAGCATTTTTTTGGTTTTCAATGCACAATTGATATCGTTGCGAAAATCCTGATAATAATATGTTGGTAGATAATTAGCTTTACATCAAATATTCTTGAAGCTGAACTAATGTTGGTATTCGTGATACTAGAGGGTTTGACGAGTATATAAATCCGTAAGTTACAACAACAGCAGGATTCGATGACTCTTAACGAACACTTACGATTCATAGAATCTTGTTCTAATTGTAACTCAAGAATAAAGATTCGTTCCTATGAACGACCTTCTCGAATTTTTACACCGTCTGTTTCAAGACGCCGGATCCTTTTTAGCGCATTTTTCATCCATGGAAAAAATGCGCTATTGTGCTCGTCATGTCCGTCCGTCTGTCCGTGACTTCACGTTTTCGTCGACGCGAAAATGTGCTCTCTGTCACTCACTGCAGTGAGTACTGATCAAATTTTTTCCATAAAGCGAAGATTGGGACCTTACCAGCTCTCTTCTTCAGGCTCCTTTACCTTATACAAACAAGTTCATTAAATTTTGCTAGACCACCTCGAGCTGCGTAGCTGCCGTAATTACAGCATCACTCGATTGTTCAATTTTCGCCAATTTTTCGTATTCTTCGCAATTCCAGTATTGCATTTCTTTTTTCTTCAATTTTGTTACTTTCTCCTACTGATATTTCAACATTTGCGCTAGGAATCTGAAATGCGAAGTCACTATATTTACACCTTTCATTTCGGATACGCCTTTCATTTCGGACATATCAGAGCTACAACAATTAGTAGTCTTTATAAAACAGTTCCAAATATATGTAACGATCAAATTCTGAATGTACTAAACACTCACGCTTTAATGAAGAGAATAAGGCCAGTGTTCCAAGGTATGTGGGTCAGGACCTTGACTTACAGTCTCAGGCTCGAGTTAGAGAATCAAGTGTTCGATTTATGAGGTCCCTAGTGACATGTGGAGTCTCATCAAGGGTGGTAATTGTAGTTAGCATATTCTCATTAATTATTTTATGAGAACCAGGAAGTCCCATATCACGCAAAATCCTCTACTTGATGCCTTCTTTCATTATTCGCTCTAACCACTAATGTCATTCACAGTATAAAGTGAAAGAAAATAAATGCTTCGTACCGCAACAGCTTGCGGAAAAAAAACACGGTCTAAATTTAAAAAAATATAACTCAGTACTCACTGCAGTGAGTGACAGAGAGCGCATTTTCTCGTCGACGAAAACTTGAAGTCACGGACGGACGGACAGACGGACGGACGGACGGACATGGCGAGCACAATAGTGCATTTTTTCCATAAATGAGAAAATGCGCTAAAAAAACTGATACTACAATTAAGAAGGTGATGACAACATATCATCAGAATAATCATTCGATTTGTACCACGGAATATAAACCACATAATATGATATTGAAATTCAAATTGTACTGAGGAATGTTATATGATATTGGAATAGCATTTGCGATACATTGCAGCTAAGTAAACGAACGCTGAAGAGTGTATCCTGTTGGAAATCTTACAACAATTCTACCCACGCTTGCCATGACATTGATGCTGGTGTGCATGGGACCGGATATCTTTGTTGAGAGATAAATAGCCAGAAATATTGTGTTTTTTCTTAATTGATGCACATCCTCTTGGGTAATTTTAGATCTCTCTATTAACATAAATCAGAAATTTCTGCTATTTAAACACAAGCGAGATGCAAAAAAATATCTATAACGATATGGTGCCATTGAATACTTTTATCAAACTTCTTGCCTTTACCTACACAAGCACACTACTAAAAATCAAGCAGTATTTGAACACGGTTATTAGACGATGAACTCAAATCGTGTTTGTCTATGGAATCCGGGAATTTCTGAAAATTTAACACTAATCAATTAATAGATTAATTAGCTTCGCCCTTCTACACTACACAAGTCAGTCAGCGTTCCCTTCAGACGCTTGTAAGTGAGCTTTCAAAAAACCTATTACATGGCTCGTTTGAATGCAAATTTTGAGTTTGTTGAGACCGGACTTAAGGAATTATATGAAGTAAGTAAACGATTCACTTTAAATCATTTTCGTGGTGGGCGAAAAAAACATTATTGCTCGTTTGAATTCAAATTTTGATTTTTTCGAATCCAGACTTAATGAATTGAATGGAATTAGTCAACGATTCACTTTAAATCATTTTCGTGGTTGGCGTCATGGTGAAATTGATGAGCCCTGCAAATGGCAGAACCGCGTGTCGCGCCCACGTGACAAGTCCGGAAATGAGGTGTTGGACTCACAAGGCAAACAATCTGACGAATGACTCCGAGGGGAACATAATGTGTGTCAACAGCTTTTATGAATCACAGAATAAATTAAATAAATCATATCAAGAAAAATTAACTATGGGAATCTCCGCAGAATAAATTAAATGAATCACTCCAAGAAAAATTAACTATTGGAATCTCCACAGAATAAATTAAATGAATCAAAATTAACTAAGTGAATCAATCCGCTAAAAGAAGTCTGCTTAAGACATGCATGTGAGGAAAATCTATAGTTGTTCTCTGTTGACGTTTAGCTGTTCAAGTAAAAATGTGGATTGAACGTTCTTACCATGTTTAATGTTTTGTCGTGAAAAGCTTATGAAATTTTTGAATAATGTTGATTAAAAAACACTAAACCTCAGCGAAAAAAGATTAGGAGCTCGACTGCACCTGATAATGCAGTAATGTGTTCACTAATTGCGATTACAGTATAGTTTAAATGAACAGGAAATCTTTAGAACTAAAAATTACATGTGATTTAGCACCAAGTCTTGAACAAGCATCACGGTCAAGATGCCATCACAATCGCGTCTTGTTTGCATCCCGCGGCCTTGCGTAGCGTGGGGCTATAAAGCAGACTGCAGTTCAAGCGGTTGCCCAGTGCTCAGAGAAGATATCTTAAGAAAAGACGTTCGTTATACCATAAAAATATATCACAGAAGCTCAGGATCCCCTGAGCTATTTTGTTCATAAGAAATATTTATCGCCAAGAATCGGGGTCGGTGTGTAGTAGTTAGATCGCCATATTTAATTAAACGCAATGAATCGGTTTCATCTGATTCTATTGTTTGGTCTTCTGGACATCATTGCAGGTGAGTGACTTCGAATTTAAATAAATTACCGTTGTGTATCAAAATTTGCAAAATATTTCTTTTCAATTGAATCTCCTGATGTACATGACTCGGGAGAGAATTATATTCTAACAGTAGCTTATCCTTGCAAATATAACCTAAGTTGTTAACTATACGTGTAAAGTAAAAGTATTAGTTCATAACTGTTAGAAGAAATTAAATTGATCCCTGTTGAAGCAAAAAATGATAAATGGTATGTTCCGATATGTGTACAATGATTATTAAATTACAATATATAAATAAAAATAATTATAGGTTCCATACAATGACGATAATTTGAGCTCAACAGTTCATGGTAAACGTCATTGTCAGAAATTACTTGTCTCCATTTGTTGACCGTTTGATCAACAAGCGATGTGGTTCACTATTTTAAAACTCGTACAATGAATCTCGGGGAATTATTCCTGCTTAAATGCTACATTTATGTTAGTATTTCAGTTGTTTATTTCTTTTTTGCTCCAATATGCTGATTAATTCGAACATGTCCACTTTTCCCAATAACAATGCATTATTTTTTATTTAGATAATAAAAATCCCTAACACCAACATAAAAAATTCGTTTCAATCATTTTAAAGAAAGCTTACTAGCTCCTGTATTCAATATATTTTCCAATTTTTCTAGGAGTTAATACTCACGCTGTGAACGCGTATAACTTTTTCATAATTTTTCCATGACCTGAAAGTGTTTTTTTTTTTGTGAATTTCAGAGATAAAGTAATGCATTGTATTCATGTTTTAATTCAAAATCAACATACTTCGATATTCTCGAGAGTCATACATGTGTCGTTCATTAAATGAATCTAAAACAATCTATAATGACCGCAACCGAAGAAGGCCAAAATATTTCAGCTTAATATTGAATTACTCCCTCGGTTACATGAAAACCCGGAAATGAGGTAATGTTAGCTAATAAATTTGAGTCGTGACATAAAGCTGGCGTATTATCAAGAAGGCAGAGAAGTCCGGTAGCGTTTACATGACGGCGAAATATTTGGAACTTTGGGTGCTCTGTGTCAGAGAATTACATGTTAATTATTTGCAGTATAAATGGACCTCTCACATAGATCGGGAGTGACGATATATACCTACTATGAATATATCATAATTCAAAAGCTCCTAACACCAACTGCGACATGTTAACTAAATAAACTACTTTTTATCAGAAATAAACTACTTTGCTTTTATATAAAACTTATATATAAAACTTTGCTCAAATAAACTGCTTTTCATCAGACAAATGCCTGCAAAATTTTAATGTTACTGTTCGTTTTGCATGCCATCTCAATCTAATAATTATATCACCAATATAACAGTTAATATTAAGTAAGTATTAATTAAGTATTGATCTTAATTTAACTTAAAGTCATAAAGTGGGTTTGCTGATTTGGGTAGGTAACGGATGAATTAAAACACTTGATATTTTAAAAATTATTAAAAATTATTTTGAGAAATTATTAATGAAAATTCACTGCAATGATAGTGAAAATAATTACCGATAGTGTTAATTTTAATATAATTATAGTGTTATTATAATTTTAACACTAGTGACAGTGTTAAAAATATTTAAATATATATTAATGGTAAAAATTAAATAAACGGGACTAGAAAGTCCCGGTGGTATATGGTTGCCACTGAGGTGACAGATAGTGCGCCAGTTGACTGCTGCATTGTAGAAGCATTTCTGCTTCTGTTATTTATTGAAACGTGTCTTTTATACTCGATGCTTGGCCCTACAGACAAATTTGGAGTTAGGGATCATAGAAATACATCGTTTTCACATATATATTTATTTTGAGAAATGATTATTTTTCTAGTAAAAAACAACAATATTTACCTGCACTATATTTGATAGTTGTTGAATACCATCAAAAACTTTCTTTGGATAACGTGTACACTAGCTTATAATAACATATCACAATAAGCAGATAAAAATTATAAACATATCACAATAAACAGATAAAAATATTATTTCTTTGCAATTACCATTGGTGCTGAAGTGTTTCTCACATATCCCTGTAGTTAGCTGTGCCTTAATGTTGCGCTATATGCAAGTTATATAGGGTATAATATTGCGCGGGACGTTATAGTCACGTTAGTCACGAAAGGGTTATTAAGTATCTCGGGTCTGAAGCTTCCACTAACTTTATTATGAATTTAAGTTAGTTATTATTTTCAGGTCTAAGTACTTTCATAAATATTTTTTTACAAGATTATTCATGGTATAAGAATTTTTTAACAATAACCAAACTATTATCGCATAGAATGAATGACGTAAGAAATAACTGAATTAATTTAGTATACATACTCGTTAGTTAGTAGCATAGGTTCTCATGATGCATTCGCTGGATTAATGTTATACAAGCTCATTGTAGTTTTGGTGTAGAATAATAATGATTGCAAAATTTTAAAGTTATTTGGTAGCAGCTAATAATATACTTGTAAGAAGAAATACTGATGTCAAAAACGCAACCAATTTTTAAGGGGTGACTCATGTATCGTTGCAAAAGTTGAAATTAATTTTATAGCAGCTAATAATTTACTTGGTATGAAGAATAAGTGATGTCAAAAACACAACAAATTTTTAAGGGGCGTCTCATGTATCATTGCACAAGTTGAAATTAATTTTGTAGCAGCTAATAATTTACTTGGTATGAGGAATAACTGATGTCAAAAAACACAATAAATTTTTAAGGGGCAACTCATGTATCGTTGCAAAAGTTGAAATTAAGTTTATTGCAGCTAATAATTTACTCGATATGAAGAATAACTGATGTCAAAAACGCCTCAAATTTTTATTGGGCGACTCATGTGTCATTGCACACGTTGAAATTAATTTTGTAGCAGCTTATAATATACTTGTATGAAGAATAACTGATGTCAAAAACGCATCAAATTTTTAAGGGGACACTCATGTATCATTGCAGAAGTTGAAATTAATTTTATAGCAGCTAATAATTTACTTGGTACGAAGAAATACTGATGTCAAAAACACAATAAATTTTGAAGGGGCAACTCTTGTATCATTGAGTGTAAATATTAAGTGCGACTTGAGCTCAGAGCTGCAGAAGGTCAGGGCTGCACTGCACTGATGACTGCAGCAGCTGTGCGGTGCATCTCCGCATGACGACACGCGCGTAGTGCGCAGTATATGTGGTGCAGTGATAAACAATTTAATGGAAATTTGCTAGTAGACTGTGATTTTTTATGAGGAAACCTGTCAAATGAATTTCCTTTAAAGTATTTTCCAAGCAAAAAAATTTCTCGAGTTGGTGCAAAGACTTTAAAATTGCAAAAACGTGAATTTCAGTGTAATTTTAATTTTAGATTTTTTTAATTAACATACTCCTAAGTCGACCGTAGGATTTGGCTGTGTCGCTGTGGGCCTGTAGGTCTTATTTTATAACAATATTAATAATCAAAATAATTATGTATTTAATTTAGTCGAATTTCGTCTTTTTTTTATTCAACGCTTACCTATGAATACTTCGATTCAGGTAAGAATGATATTCGATTATACTAGTGAAAACTGAAAAAATTTGTTTTTAGCACATTCACGAGGATAAGTCAATCCCCTTTAATTTTAAGGCCCATTAGCAACATGTAGTTTGTGCCAACATGAGATGGTGTGATAACACACAACAATAATAATAAAATGACGTTAAAATGCCAAATACAAAAATATAAACTGTGTCTTCTCCTAGCTGAATCTCATTCTTCTTGTCTAGTCTCAGTTTCGTACTCTTTCTTTTTTTCATGAATTAATCCTGCACTAGCTATGAAAAATATGACGCATAACATAATACTAACGGACTATATATATATTAGTATTCAAGATCATCTATATAAACAGTCACTGAATTGACACAGAAAATTATTAAAACTTTTATAGTGCAAACACTAATACGTACCTATAGGTTGGATGACGAAGCAAATGAAAAGGTTAAAAGAGTGGCTAAACGTGGTGACTAGTGAGATGACTTCTGAAACATGAATAATAAATGCAAGTATCCTTAATAGTCATAAAACAATAGTGTGTTGCACCGCGTTCCCTAACAGTGGAATAGTGAGACTTAGTGACAGTGGGAAAAGAATTGTATTAAATAATTAAAATCGGATTTTTGTTGTAGGTTGTGTATATCTTTTCAAGGATAGGCAATGCAAGCGCTTTATATGCAAAACAGTCGGGATTCATGATCACGGGATTCAGGATCACAAGATTCGGGGTAACGGGATTCAGAATCACGGGATTCGGGATGACGGGATTCAGAATCACGGGATTCGGGATCACGGGATTCAGGATCACGGGATTCAGGATCACGGGATTCAACAACAGTGTGTTGCACCGCGTTCCCTAACAGTGAGACATTGAGACAGGGAGAAATGAATTGTATTACATAATTTAAATTGGTTATTTACTGTAGTTTGTGTGTATCTTTTCAAGAATAGACAGTTCAAGCGATTTACATGCAAAACCGAAGTTAGGGGATTCGAGATGTTGGGACTCATAATGACAGGATTCGGGATGACTGGATTTGGGATGATAGGATTCATGATGACGGGATTAGGGATTCCGTATGACGGGATACCGGAATCGCGGGATTCGGGGTGACGGGATAAGGGGTGACGGGATTCGGGGTGACGGGATTCAGGATGACGGGATTCGGGATGACGGGATTCAGGATGACGGGATTCAGGATGACGGGATTCGGGATGACGGGATTCTGGGTGACGGGATTCGGGATGACGGGATTCAGGATAACGGGATTCGGGATAACGGGATTCGGGATAACGGGATTCGGGATAATGGAATTCGGGATAACGGGATTCGGGATGACGGGATTCAGGATGACGGGATTCAGGATGACGGGATTCAGGATAACGGGATTCGGGATAACGGGATTCGGGATAACGGGATTCGGGATGACGGGATTCAGGATGACGGGATTCTGGGTGACGGGATTCAGGATGACGGGATTCAGGATGACGGGATTCAGGATGACGGGATTCGGGATAACTGGATTCGAGATAACGGGATTCGGGATAACGGGATTCGGGATGACGGGATTCGGGACAACGGGTTTTGGGATGACGGATTTCTAGATGACGGGATTTTCGCTAAGGGAATCTTCAAGTGCAGAGATTGCCCATCTCTGGAAACATTTAGTTATCTTGCAGGTCAAAAATAATAACATTTCTATAACATTAAAACCTAAGCAGGGCTCGCTATTTTCATGATAATGCAGCCTTTTCGACTGAAGCGTGAAAGTTCATTTAATTTTAAATTTATATTAAAATTTAAAATTTGTGAAGCTGTGGCACAAAGTCACACATCACAGACTGTTAAATGTGAAAGTCTCGACTCCCAATAAGATAAACAGTGCATGGTTTATTCTGAAAACTTAATTAGGGCAATTTGAATAAATGACGATATTAAAGAAAATTGGCAGCGAAGGGTTGTAGGGCTTACGAGTCGTAAAATCTTTTCACTTCTATTTTCATATAAAAGCCTTTTGTGCCGTTGGTCGGCTAATAAATTTAAGTCATTGATTCCTTCAACTGATTATTAAGAGGCATAGCTTTCAATACGTTGATTCATCATTAATTTTTCACACCACGTTCATTTAAAAGATGTAAACACTCTGAAAAGAATGTAGTAAGCTTCTGCTTGGCATTATTAAATGTATAATTCAGAAAACTGATATGAGACTTTCAACTTTTTGGTGCACGGTTAAATTTACCGTTCATTCATTGGCGGATTACTTGTGTTCCATGATAGCTAATTTTCGTGCCATGTTGAAATTCCAAGTGCATTACCACAAGAACCAACAGACAGCACTAATATAAGAATATTTCTTGTCCAGGTCTCGCGGAAGATTTCCATGTTGAACAAATACGAGCGCCTTACGTCTCTTCCATCGACCTCGGCACACACATGACCAGTGGCAGCTCCGCGTTGGGATCGGTGAGAAAAATGTCTTTGTCAGTGCCAAACTCGTTATCTTTCATTTTTAAACGTTTGTGTACTCTTAACTTTATCATTAGATTATTGTGCCTTTTCCCTCGCACATTCAAGATAGAGGGAAAACCTCTTAAGTAGCAGCTTCATTGTTTGATTTTAATGTATGGCTGAATGAGTCATCGAGAAGCTTTTCGGGTTAACTAATGAATTTTGACCAAAACAAGACGAAATGTCTTGTAGTAAAAAAAGAAGTATATATATGTTTTCAATGTTACCAGGGATATTTGATCATACTCTGATAAAATTCTACAAGAAATGAAGACAATTATTAGATATCCGGTTTTATAAAGATTGCGGAGGAACCTCTGTCAATATCTTCAGTCCTAGAGTCATCATAATATACGGGATAATATATGTGTGCATAGTTAACATAATGTCTATTCTTTCAAATAAAAATACAGGTTTTGTATATGGTTATCTTAGGTTGGTATATTCATTTCCATTAATTACATCGTTGGAGATATACAATATAAATATTTTTATTACCTATGTTCGGATGCTAAAAAAAATTGTTAATAGGCATTAAAAAAGAGACTCCAATATACAAAGTCAGCAAACCGACTTACATGAAAAATGAGCAAGAAATTGCCGTGGAATAATTTAAATCCGTGTTGAAATAACAAAAGGCTTTTAAAAATTAAATTAAATTAAAACAATGAATTAAGCACTAATCAGTTACTAATTCCTGTAAGATGAGCAGGATATATGAATGTATTTCAACATGGAGGTTTGGTCAAGAGGAGTGTAGTAAACGGCAAGAAAACAAATGGAAGCAGTTCTATAATTGCCTCAATTTATGTCATTTTTAAATCCCTTCATCTCTTAATCGGCTCAAACAATAGAAATTTTCCGATACTTTTTCTGCTTACAACAGCAACGTAGTGAGAACTTAATGGCAAAACTGCGTTAAACAAATTTTTAATAATTTATTTTCAAGTCATGCATTACGGAACTTCCATATCGTCAATCTAAAAATTAACACATCAAATTTACACAATTTAACAATTACATATACGAAAAACTGTAAATAAAATCAACTAATTTTGTCAATATGCAATACATGTGAGTCTAGTTGCAACTGAACCACTGAAAATGAGCATATTTTATAAGGAGAAATTAAATGTATTTAAGTATTATATATTTTCCTTTTAGGAGTTGGGCGAATTCCAGGCTGACTTTGGGCCTTACGGTAGATCGGTGAAACACGAAGTGCATGAAGAACATCGCATTGTGAACGGCGAGCCAGTGTACGAGAAGCGAGATGAGAGGCGGTATGAAGATGGAAGGCTTGTGCATCACGATGGTCATGAGAGAGGAGACCCAAATACTGTACCAAATTTACCTGTGGTAATCGTACCGGGCAGCTACCGGAGTAGTGCTTCGAGATCTTCCTCAAGTAGATTCACTGGAGGAAGTTTTGGATCAACTGAAGGATCATCCGCTTTGGCGGGTGGGAGTTATGGATCTGGATCAAATTACCGAATGAGCGGGACACATGGAGCGACCGGCGGAAGCCTAAATACAATTAGAGGCAACGACTACAGAGCAGCAGGAAGCGCTGCGGAAACGACGGACAATTTCGAAAATAGGTTCAGCGCAGACGTCCAACGACTCAGAGAGAGACTTCATCAAGGTACAGCAGTGATTCATGCTCCTGCTCAGACAACAAGTGTCCGAGATGAGAAGCATCATGAATCCCATTTCGTAGACGGCCAACAGGTTTATCGTCGGAATGAGGAAAGGAGATATGAAGACGGCCGCTTGGTGCACAACGTTGCTGATGAAGATGGATCAAGAAGCACTGCTAACATTGCAGCAAACGCCGCTAGCTCTCAACAATCCACCGTAAGCCGCGAAACAGCCAATGCTCATGTCAGGTCTGGTTCTGGTTATGAGACGCCCACGGACACTTCATACAGAGCTTCATACTGGAGACCAGGCCCTCAGGAGAGAAGAGTTAGTACGACTCAAAGGCAAACATCTAGTAGCACTTCGAGTGAGTACAGACCACGACCCAACAGAGTGCGTATAACTAATGCCGGATTGTTAACAGCGAGTGAGCGACCGGCCCAAGTTTCTCAAGAAACGAGTTCTACTCGTTTTGTAGCCCACTCTAATCAGCCTTCATACAGGCCCAGCTATACACCTGCACGGACAGTGGAACGTATTCCACAGAGTCATCAATCGTCTTCCACTCACATTGGATCTAATTTATCTCAAAGACAACTTTCAGAAGCTACGTACCAATTGCCTGGATCCACAATTCCTGCAAGTTATAGATCGGAGTACGAATCCTCCTCGCACACCGGCAGACCTCAACCATCTGAAACCGATATGCAGCAGAACTATGAGAGAATCGGTACACATTCAGAATCTCAATCAGCTAACACTGAAAGACGACATTCTGCGTTCTATGGATCTGGCTATGTTCAGAGACCTCAAACGACAACGACGGCTTCTCCAACTGTCAGTCGTATAACAGATACGTACTCAGTTCCGTACAGTATTCGTTCCTCATCTTATCAACCAAGTCAGTTCGCCAATTATTCTGCTTGGTCTCACTGGAGAAGTGAATCTCCGGTTAAAGTTCAAACTACCTCATCAAGTACGACACAAAATCGCTACGAGAGTGGTGCAAATAGTTCACAAAAAGCTGGTGAAAATATGCAAATGAGCGTTAACAGGAACGCTGAAGCGGTCGACACTTCACAACAATCTCACACAGTTCAGCAATCGCAGCACGTAAGAGCGTTGCGACCGGGATTTCTTTATGATGATCATCTAGATCATACAAACGAAATCGACAGAAGCAATGATCATCGGTCGGCCGGTACGAACGTTGTTCTTCAAACTATTGATACGAGCCCATCACCGTACTCCCCTCAACATGCTGATCAGAATGGTATAATCACTAGTTCGACAGTTACAGGTGAACATAGAAATTCCAATGCCAATGTTGCCGTCAGACCAGGTAGTACAACTGGAATTTCATTCACAGTGAAGGTAGGAGAAAATGAAAATGTACGACTCAATAATATTGATGCTGTAAACACACAAATAGACGAAGAACGATATGATATAAGTCCTATCGTTGACGGCACTTCTAGTTTTTCCCAGGCTGATAATAAAGTTGGTACGACAAGCATTGGGAGAACAGCATCAAGCTCTGAACTCTCTAGGTACTATTCCACGCATGGTCAGGACGATAGATCAGGATCACATGTTATTCCCGCATCTGGATCAGCATATGATCGGGCAGCATATATCACAAATCGGACGCAGAGCACAATTACCTCTCAAATTCAACCTCTTGTATCAAGCTATAAGATAGAAACCAGATCCTCTCGACGTTATCTGAACGGAAAACTTGTAAGTGAAACACGACTGAACAAATATTATGAGAATGGAGTATTAGTCCATGAAAATAAGACTGAAAGGTCAAGAGATGAAATGTTGACCGATGGTGTCAATGTAGGAGCTCTAGATCTAAGCATGGATGACTTGGCAGGCTATGGAGTATTAGACCCCAATGCTGTTCCTCTGGCCCATTCCCAGAGATTCGACTTGAAGCAAGAGAAAGAATTTGTCGATGGTAATCAAGTTTATGAATCTACGCATGAACGTCGTTTCCAAGATGGCGAGCTTATCCACGAGGATCATGATGAAAAGGACCAGGCTGAATTGGCATCGCTGGGAAGAACCATCTATAATCAGGACGATGCGTGGTTATTGGGAATTGGAAGAGGGATGAGCGGGGGAGGATACACTTCGAATTTTATCGAAAATCGTAATTACGGCAACAGTTTTGATACAGGCATTCAAGAAGGTTATCGAAGTGGAAACCGGCAACGTACTGGCGTAGGCGAAACTGTAACTATAAATGTAACACCTGTTACCAAGACGAGGAAAACAGAGATACGGCGGGAACAAGAATTTCAAAATGGTCAACAAACTTACGACTTGAGACACGAAAGGCAGTTCACGGATGGAAGTTTGATTCATGAGGAATATTCCGAAAAAGGTCCAGACGAGCTTGCAACGGGTGCTCACCGAGATGCTCTACAAGATATTTTGTCTGGGAGAACTCTGACAACTGCTTCTGAGTCCAATTATCGGCCAGCGTCAACAGCAAATAGTCATAGCCAACACTATCAGGGCTCATCTTACTCTACACAGACTCAACGGGATAGCAATAACTACGTTTCAGAACACCAACGTGGAAACTCGGGATCAACTCAGCGCGGCCAAAATACCGCTGGGATTAACCCAAATGCTGCAATTGAATCATCCCGTGTTAATAGTCAATTAGGAACTAATCTTCTTAATTCTGGAGCACGCACATTTGTTATTGGTGACGGAGGAATAGGCAATTACGAGTCTTTACATTCTGCATCGGGTGTTTCTACTGGTAGTAGAACTTCGGGAACACAGTACGATGGCGAAAGATCGGAGGACACGGAAAACGAGTCTTATTCACCATTTGGCGGTGGCACAGAAATTCAAACTGGAAGCAGCAGCTATTCGAATGAAATTTCATCCTCATCCGAAGCTTCCCACCGTGGTGCCTCTGTTGGAACATATGGAACTACAGGATATGATGCCTTTGGGAATTTCGAAGCATATGCTGGTGGGGATCGAACAGGGGGAAGAGCAATATCCCACCAGCGCGAAATGGAAGTAGAAGAACATTATGAGAACGGGCAGCTTGTTAGAGGACGGGAGGCAGAGAAAGAATGGAAGAACAACGAGCTTCAGAAACACGAAGAACGTGTGTATGGACAGGTAATAAAATTCGCGTCATAAAAATTTAAATAAAACTAATTATTGGTCGTTACTCGTTAAATATTTCTCAAAATAATTCAACAAAAACGTTTGTCTGTAGTTACTCGTTTCCAATTCTTCAGTTTCGTTTCATAATTGATCGGTCAAACTGAATTTCTAGATCACCTAACCAAATCCTATTTCGATATCAAGTTCTTAATTTCAGGGGGAAGCAATTCGTGGACGTGGGACTTCAGTCCAGGTTAGTCCAGGTCTCACATCATCGTCAAGTTTCGGAACTTACGGTGGTTCAGCTGGAGGATCGACCATTTTTGGAGCCACAGGATCCTTTGGGGCGTACTCTCCTCAATCTGGTGCAGATTACAACGCTCAGCCTTCAGTGTACGGATCTCACAACGGATACCAGAGCCAGTCGTCAGCGTTCAACATTGAATCATCAAGTTCGGGGTCCCAGGGAGCGACTTACGGAATTCCAGGTTATCCGGGAGGTGGCATCGGAGGCGTGACTCATCGCAGAGAAATGGAAGTTGAAGAGCACTATGAGAATGGCCAGCTCGTCCATGGACGTGAAGAAGAAAAAGAATGGAAAAACGACAATTTACTAAAGCACGAGAGAAGGCACTACGGTGAGGTAAGACATAATGTAATTTCTCAAGCTCAGGTTGATAGAACTGCTTAGCAATTTTACTATATCACATCACTCGTTGGTATTTTGATAGAGTTTTCTTTTTAATCTGGTTAGGAATATCATCTAAGAAGAGACTTATTTGAATCATGTCTAACACGATGTTGCTTCCTTGTATTTGCATAGAACTCAGAGTGTTTGAATTCACAAAATAAAAATTGACAGAGCGAAATCAACTCTCGAAAATTACAATCGATTGCTCAGAAATTCCCGATTGCGTTTCATAAAAAGTGATCAGTTCCAAATACCTGCAGGAACATTCGGCTCAACCATCCAGCTCAGCTCTGACGTCCACAAGTTCTTCAGGAGTTTCGTCCTCGAGGCTTTTCCATGACAGCGTCGAGGGCCAGTGCTCGGCAAGGCCGTGCAACAACGGGGCTTCGTGCGTGACCGGCACTCGGGGCTACCTGTGCGTCTGCACCTTTGGCTTTAGAGGTAAATAAGTAAAGACATTATGAGCGCAGCTCAATGTTAAGTGTTATTAGAGGTAATTATATTCTAAATAAGATATTAAATGTTACTCAAGCCCAATGCCTTTATAACCTGGCCGCAGCAACATTTTTTTTTTTTTTTTGCACAGGTGACGCAAAGATGCAATAGTCGCCTAACAGCTCAATCTGCTATTTTTTGATAAACCTCATGTAAAGTAACTTACTTTTCCATAAGATATTATTGATTGAAATTTATACGTTTATGGCACAGTATAATGATCCATTTTTTAACAAGAAATAGACCATATGTGTTTTTTTCATAAAATGATCGGATCCTGCTTGCCGGAGTAAATTGGTACAAGAACCAAAGAAGAATTTAGTGCGTTGATCAATTATTTTGTTTTACCTCTGTACTCGTTACTCATCAGATTAAAACCAATTGGTTTAAATCGATTTAAAGCACAGTTTTTTGCATGAATTTCAAATAGTTTGCGAGCTAATTTGCGTTAACCTCAATTAATTTTGCAGGATTAAGGTGCGATGAAGCCTACTGCCCGACCCGTTACTGCCG